ATTGTACAATCAGTTTTAGGGCCAGGAAAACTCATATACATATAGTTGCTAATGTCTGGTCCCAGACCCAGCAGACTCAGTCTGGACACAGGACTGGACCTGAGGACTGGTCCTCTACAGTCCAGTCCTCATAGGTCCAAGGGGGGTCCAGTCCTGTGTCCATCAAATTGAGAAATTTCCTAGACTAATAAACCAGTCCAGACTCAGACTGGACTCTGGACTTGAATGTTTTGTGTGATTGTTTGTAGTATAGAATTATTTGTAGTACATATTCTGACATCCATTTTACTTTTCAGTCTCTTTGATTACAACTTTGATTTCCTTCTTGTCTAACATTTCTCTAGTGCTGGGAGCAGTATTGTGAACTTGCAAACCTTTAACAGAGAAGCTATGACTGTTCTGGATGATTGTAAGGATTTTGTACATTGTGATCTTTGTTTGTACAATGTATTCAGAGCTGGGAGTTGTAAAAACTGGTAGCAAATGAGTACATTTGATATACAAAGCCAGATCAGGCCTGAGCATATATTTAAATATTTCCTCTGGATTGCTGTCCTTTAAGACAGGACTTGTTAATACTAAAAGGCAAAACTGCTTACTGCCTGAAACATTTGAATCCATAGAAATCTTAAAGACTTATTACAAGGGGCTTCATAATTAGTTATATTATCTATGTACTTAGATACAAAAAATAATGTGCTGATGCCTCTCAAATTGTTCTCTCAAGTCTAGTCATGGACAGTCCAAAACCAGACTAGAACTTGGGTCCAGTCCAGTAACTGTCCACATAGGTCCAGTCCACAGTCTGGGACACTCCCAGACTGCAATTTTGGTCCAGTCCTGAGTCCAGGTGAAGTACACCCAGACCAGACCAGGACTGGACTTTAGCAACTATACATATACATGAAATATAGGGAAAACTCACATATTGTGTTGTATCTTACTCAATTTTTGCTCATTTTACTTCATTTTTTCTGGAATATGAAAGATACTTCAAAAGTATAATTTTTACAACTTAGATCATGTAATTTGGTTAAGTATTAGTTGAGTTATGGTAGATTTTGTATTTGAGTGTACTTAGTGTGACGAAAATCACAAATCGCATGTGTGACAATATTTATGAAAACAACAGTAAATAGGTAATGAACCGATCTCATGTAGCTGACAATGTGTGATCAATCACATGAACTTTGGTAATTGGATTTAATAGTTTCACAGATGCTGTATGTGATTGGATGATAATCCAAGAAATAGCGTTTAATTTGTTTAGAAGTTTAGAACACCCCCTGAAATACCTTCTGCTTCATTGACGTATGATATTATAATGTACTTATCTGCCAGGGCGTCAATTTCATAGTATAGATCCAACAATGACGAATCCTAGAGGTACAGTTCAAAACAGGAATTCATTTGAGTCAACAGTGTCTTCAATTTTTCTGTCAAGGATATCAAAATCATTTTGGACTGTAGTGTATTCAGAGACGGAATATGTGGCTCAAAACTGCAAGCTAATGAAGATGCATGAAAGAGTTCTTAGGAAGTAATGCTCAGCTTGTAGAAAATATTCAAGCATGTCTGGAATGGAAGTTCTCTTTCCAGCCTAGCCATGTCTTACAGTAATTCGTTTCATCAGATACGGTGTGCAATGCGGAAATTCCCTCTCAACAAGTGGAAGCAACGCTTCCTGTGAAGAGGTGAGCGCTTGATAAAATGAGCACTAAAAATTAAGGACAAAAAGTTAAGGCTAGAAGGAACATTGAAAAGTTGACGACTGAATTTGGCTTAGTATGACTATAAAACCTCAGTCGGTTTCTGTAGATGAATATTGATCGGAATTCTGGTATGATCGAGATTCATAAGGATCGAAGGATAAGTCATGTATAACGTCGTGTTGTCTTCGGAGATTCCACTGCTTATTTAGGTACCTTAAGCCTGTCAGCAGCAGAATGAATCAGCTGTCTGACTATTACACAAGTGGCAAATTTACTATTTATCCGACTATTGCAACATTTCCAGTGACGGTCTCAGGAATCAGGACCATGTAACATATATACACATCATACTATTTGACAAGACATTCTTCTTAATTATATAGCTACTTATAGCTTTGAAGCATTTCGACCAGATGTCTCAAACGCCTCTTTAAGCCTCCGTTTCGCTTCTTTCCACTCAACGTTTGGAAGCGAACTCCATTGAACCTCCCATTTCTTATATATTACTTGCGCTAATTTTTCCAACTCTACGTCATAGCCTGCACGAATGAGCGCTCCGTCGATGCCCTCAGGAAGGTTATTAAACTCGTAAAAGAATCCGGAGGTATGTGAGCGCTCAACGAAATGGTTTCCGAGAGGTCTACGGACGGCGTCGTATATGCGCAATACTGAAGCGAGATTTGACTGGTTCACGCCTGGTTGTGCAAGGAGTTGTCCGAGAATGAACGAATCCTAAGAGGTCGAGGTGTTTAGTATCGAGCGATGTCATCACGGTAAGCACGGATCACCTCAATGGCTTGGCCTGCTCCTGCGCCAAGGTGAGTCGTCATGGCGTGTGCCTGCACGATATGTTCGTAACGATTAAACTTGAGCTGATACACGGAAATACCCACCGCGTCTCCCAGTATTGCGATTAGGCCATCCACGTATGTTGGTAAGCCACGTATCTGGCTAATTGCCCATCGCTGTACCTTCTCGGAACACTTCATGCACATCGAATGTCCTTAGCACAGTCCGAGTTCGAGAAATTCGAGAGGGCCTTAAGTACGTACATTAAGGAGAGAATGGATCTCGGGCTCCCACCCCTTGTATTGGTCCAACATCTCTTGCTTCGTCACGTCGACTACGGCAGGTCCGTCGAATTGCTTTCCCTCTCCACCGGGAACCGTAATGAAAGCGACAATATTCACGAGCCTTCCTTGAGATATCGGATAGGATATAACATGCTTTACGAGAATGATGAGGTCGAGGACCGTGAGTATATAATGAATCAACGAACTTTGTCCTTTCCGCAATACTACTTCGCAATTCATTAATTGATCTTATTCACGAATATGAACAACGCACCATCATTGGAACTGAGGCAGCCTGATGACCAGGCACCGCTTGCAATAACTTGTTCGTTTCCACTAGCGCACGATAGCCGTACGTTCCCGACCATTCTGCCTGCACGAAGCGCTTCAACTGAGTTTTCCGGTCTTCTTCCTCTGCTCGATCCACCAATGATATGTACATTTTCATGCGCGTTGCGGACTTGATTCCATCCGCTCCTACCAACATATCCGACTCGAATGACGAACCATCCGTAAAGTGGAGAATCACAGAGTTGCTCTTTGTCGAATAAGATGCAAGCCGTTTGTTGAAGTGTGCGTGAAACATCGAGGGCGGGGGTAAATTGTCCATGAGGACTTTCAACATGTCGGCACGATGGAGGGTAATCGATCCATCTACTCCGATCGCACATACTGAGTGTCTGGATTGTTATAACCAAATTACCGCTTACAAGGTGTCATCATGCGAACGAAATTGAAGCCTTCTGTTTCTTGGTCGCTTTTCCTGAAACAAAGACTGGGTTCTTCGGGAATGTCAGTATACAGTCGGATGCGTGGACTGTTGCGACTTACTTATCTCATCGACGGGTGGCTCTACTGCCATTTTACCCAGAGTCTCATCGAGACCGAGCTCCTTCATGATGAACCATGTCCGCTTCCATACTGAAATGCCTGCGCCGATTTCGGTGAACTGAGGCAATGCTTCAAACAAATCGATCTTGACATCCTTGCAGTGCTTGCCAATAATGACGGCGAGAGATAGCCCACCGATTCCTCCTCCACTAAGTGAGAAAGGTTAAGCAAACAGTATCTGAGAGACGTTAGAGCAAGATGTACCAGATAGCTATGCGAAATCTAGGCTGATCATCCATCTAAGCGCTAGAACTCGTAATGATAGATAAGAAGAGAGCGAGACGGGTTGCAAACTCAGCAAAGCAAGACGCCGTCTCATCATTATCTATGTGCTAAGTAAGAAGGATAGCTATAGATGACGAAGAGGCACACGGACTGAATACTTCGAATCCTAGTACGTGTTCTTCTCATCTGGGCTAAAGATATCCTGCCCGTTTGTCGGAGAAAGGTGGACATGCATATATCCTCTTCCTCAAGCCAAAGAACTGAAAACGACAATACATAAACATCACCAGTATAAGCGTTCCAATTGGTTGACGAGTACAGGGTCCTGGTCGAGAAACTCAGAGAGTGGTCAACGCAGTGCCAGTTCTTTTGGTGGAGAAAATTAACGAAGCAGCCAAGCAAAACACAGAATTTAAGCGATCGCGTAATGAGATCGGTCATTTCGCTAAGAGCTTCGATTACATTGCATTCATAGCCGATCAACGGTGGAAGGCCGAAATGACGGTCTATTCAACTTCATTGACGGAGTCATGGGATGACTACCGATAGCAGATGCCATTTACTCGTGGACCCTTGGGGATGATTTGTATATGCAGGACGAGAGGAGGTCAAGACTCGAGTTGTCAACAATCCGAATCTACAAGGCGTCCACACGGCATCAATCAATCGGCTTTCCTTACGTGGATGAAATAATGTCACGTGCCACCGCCAAAGTAAACCAAATACACTTACAAATACGCTTACGTCCTAACTGTCATACATGGCTCGTTCATCTATTGGACCCCCAAGGTGGCTCAAACAGACACAGTAGCGCATCGAAGGGTTTGCTTGCTTTAAATGTGAAGCTTATAAAGATTAAAAGTGTGTCTGAAACCGAGCCTGTGCTTCTTACTTTTTCTTCAGACAAGTAAATTAAAATCAACGATGCGGTGCGTACATTTTATCCCAAGTCTACATGAATTCATTTACAAAAATTTTCTCTTAAACCAGCCCAGCCGAATTTTCCAATTACATTATATTAATTCAGGCATATTTCTCGGCAAGTGGGTTTCTCGCGTCGTCGAATTCCAGTACCGTACGCAGGAGTGCGTGGTCGTTCGCTAGATCAGACTCGTCATCCTCGTCTCCCATTCCTAGTCTGGCCGTCTCTTCCTTTTCCATGTACGCCGCCACAGCGGCAGCGGTGAATACCTTCTCCTTCTTCAACACATCTTCCGGATCCCAAACCAGATCAGACAGTGGGAGGCTGCCGTCCTCAAGAGATTGAGCCAGGACCGCGAGGTAGGTGTAGTCGCTGTCATCCCAGTCGGAGATCTTGGGGACGGGTATATTTTCATGGACGACAGAAGCCAGCGCGTTGAAGATAAAGCGAGTTGCCTTGTCCTTATTTCTTGATTGCTTCGGAAGCGCGAGCCCCCCAGTCCGACCCTGGGTACTCGACAAGTATTTCTCTGCTCTCGAATTGAGATGTTGTAGTTGTGTCGTGTAAGCTGTAAGCGTCATTTCGCTAACCGGCTCGATGCTATAATGCCCTCCGTGATCATTCCTGGCGACGAGCTGCGTGCCAAAGGAGGTAGTGCCTTTCAGAATCCACATCGTATTGTCGTTCCAATTAGTTGTCCTGTAGGTGAACGTCGATATGCCACCCGTCCCTGTCGTTTAGCGGACATTAGTCAATGTAAGTGGAGAAGTAGACTGAGACTTACCGGGCTTAACTAGTCCATTTGCAACTGGAATATCAATGCCCTCCCGTGCGTTCTCGAATCCAGGGGATATCGTCGTTCCCGACAGATAGAGGTCTGGACGAGACATGGTACGGCAGCCTAATTGATTCCTGCTGGGCCTCTAATTCACTTTAATAGGCTGACTAATACTCATAATGGGATATTTATCTTTCTAAGACAGCTTGTTGGAGACCATAAAGCTGGCTGTAAGTGGTCTGAACGCGTGCTTCGATACAGTCCGTTGCAGGATATGTATGCCTCCCGTGCGTGCAAATGTGCAAGTTTGGCAATGACGTATACAAGTACATTGGGGCAAACAAAGGAGATAATCCATTGTCTATCATTGAGAATTCCGACAAAAAGGTAACGACCGTACGCCATATTACCATGCAGTAGATACTCGATTTTCTCGCAGTTAGTTTTCCATGTTAAAAATGTTTTTCTGTGACTAAGGGAGATAGGATAGTGTCCGTTGTACCTTGTGGTTCATCCTCGTTGATCGCTCCAACAGATACAACCCTGTTAGCCAAATACTACCAGGTAATTCTTATTGTTTCTTCAACTGGACTAATTTTTCTTTCAGTAGTGAATAGACACTGACAAGTTCCACACAGAATCAGACAGCTTTAGAGGTCTGAAGCCAGTCTCGCTGTTTGGCGTGAGCTGTCTCAGGAGCTGCACAGTACGCTTAGCCACTTGACCGCGAAGAGCATTGCCTAGATCGGTTCACCTATAGTTAGACCGACGAGGACGGTCTTTCAAATTTCCAGAGGGCCAAAAATTTATCAAGGTACATGTATCTGGTGACTGACTGATTGCAGGAAGGTTCTATTCGTCGCTAAGCACTTCATTGCCTCTGAATGCTGAGAACGGAGGTGCACATGGACTCTGCTGGTATCAGAGTGTCCTTTTTGTGTCGAGTGCTTCCATGCATTGTACAGTCAGCTAATGTTGACATGGGTTGTACTTCTGTGTGGGACTATGCAATCGATACTGGGGATACAATTTGATTGCAGAATGCTTCTGTACTTAATTATGAATGTTGAACGTATGTGCTAAGTACAATGCACCAGGTGTCTGCAAGCGACCTATACAGATGATGTCAGATAGTACTAGTAGCACTAGGGGGCAAATGTGACCTTAAGATTGAGTGATAGAGTACGAGTAGCGTTCGGCATCGGTTATTGTAATTTCCGACGACAAGCCGTGAGAAATTCATCTGAACCAGAACAGCATCCACCGTAAGCTTCCTAAGTTCTGTATCCTGTTTACCTCCTCCTTCTCGTTGACGAGTCTACTCGTGTTTACTAGCAAAAATAGCTCTGTTAGCTTCCATGAGTTGCAGTGCGTGCAATGACAATATAGCTCAAGAAGTGGCGGTATACAGCTCATCAATGAGGTTATCGTGGCTGACTAACTGCGGCTCCTGCTGGTTATCGTTCAGCAGAGAATAAATATGCGAGATGGTCGCAACTACACAAATAACAAGGAGAAGACATGGATCCTAACTGGCTGATTGGTATAAATAGAATAGAATTGCCAGGCACGAGCAGAATGATAAGCGTAGGGAAGAACGGGTTCCGGTGTGAGAGCTTATCATTTATGCATGTGCACCACCTCTGCTTATCACTCAAACACTTAGAGTCAATTCTTTTTTATGCTTCCTTCCGTGTCGCCCCGGTTATCCTTTCTTGCACGCCTACAACAACGGTAGTGCTGTAGGAGGCGATAGCCATGCCCTCGACAGCGCACATGGACAAGACGCTTGATGATTCCGAGAAGGGCTCCGCTCATGCTGCCATTGAAGTGAAAGAGGCCAATTTGGGCGCCCAAGGTATCAGGGTTCCTCACACTGGACCTCTTGCCAAACTTTGGAGAGCAGTCCTTTATGTAGACAAATTTGGTGTCGAAGTTCGCGGTATCGAGCGCGTCTATCCCGAAGATCGCTCAGCGCGCACAATCGCCGACCTTCTCGATGCGGCGACAATGTGGTTAGCAGCCAACTCGACTATCTCGACGTATTCCTTGGGCACTCTTGGTATAAGCGTATTCGAGCTTGGGTTGAAGGAGGCTTGTCTGACGATCTTGTTTTTCAACTTGCTCTCAACACTGCCTGTTGCATACTTTGCGGTTTTTGGGCCTAGACTTGGTTTGCGACAGATGACTATTACGCGGTTCTCCTTTGGGTACTACTGTGAGTACCATGTCACTCATTCTCGTTCTGCAGTGCTGACTTGCAACAAGTTGCGTTCTTTCCCGTTATTCTAAATATTATCGCCTGTATTGGCTGGTCGACTATCAACTCCATCGTCGGCGGACAGGCTCTGCGAGCCGTATCTGACTCGCATCAAATTCCAGAAGCAGCATCGATAGTCATTATAGCCATTCTCACGGCTATATTTGCGCTATTTGGTTACCGCTACGTCCACCTGTACGAACGTTATTCATGGATACCCATCGCGATTATCTTCCTCATCTCTCTTGGTTTATCTGCAAAGTATATGGACTCTGGTTCGTTTGCTGGTTCGGGCCCTGTTGAAGCAGGTAGCGTGCTTAGTTTTGGTGCGGCTATTGTTGGATTTGGCCTCGGATGGTCTAGTCTCGCTGCAGACTATACTGTGAATTTGCCTGAGGACGTAAACGCGAACGCCGTATTTTGGTTAACATACGCTGGATTGAACTTGCCGTGTATTTTGATTGAATGCCTTGGTGCTGCGACTGCAACGGTTGCTCGACAAGACTGGCAGGCACGTTTTGCAGAAGGAGGAGTTGGTGCATTGCTGGCAGCTACGCTTTCTCCTGCAGGAGGGTTTGGGAGGTTCTTGCAGGTGCTGCTAGCGTTGTCTATTGTTGGGAATAAGTGCGTCGATTTCTGATTCGGTAACAATTATAATTGAGCAGACATCTACGTCTCCTTTGTTAGCATCCCGAATATGTATTCTTTCGCGCTTACTTTCCAGGTTCTTGGGACCCAAGTCCAACGTATTCCACGGGTTTTTCTTGTCCTTATTGGGACGGTGATATACGTTGTGAGTCTCCCTTTTTACGGTCGTACATAACATAGCGACTTACTGTTCAACAGGTCCTTGCAATTGTTGGTGCATCGCACTTCGAAGCGTGGCTTGACACACTACTGGTTCTTCTCTCGTATTGGCTTGCAATCTTCTCTGCGATTCTTATTGAAGAGCATTTGATCTTTCGGAAAGGTCGATGGGCGAATTATAATCCTGATGATTATGATAAGCCCGAGCATTTGCCACTCGGATGTGCAGCTGCGTTTGCATCTGCGTGTGGAGTCATGGGTGCTGTACTCGGGATGGCCACAGAATGGTGAGTAACATGCCATCATTATTCCTGTAACACACTTCCAATCTGATGCCTGCCTTCTATTTTGCAAGGTATGTCGGTGTTCTCGGAAGGAAAAGTAAGCGTTTCGATTCGATTCTATGCCTTTTCTCCCGGAGTCTTACTAATATTAAATTTATAGTTGGTGACCCTGCGTTCGGCGGTGATATTGGGTTTGAGCTCAGCTGTGCGTTCAGTGCGACCACGTACCCCGTGGCGCGTGCTATTGAACGACGGTATGAGAGTCAACTGCGAATGCGAAATACGTCCAGCACTGCTGTAGAACAGACAGGAGGCGAAAAAAGAAGGCATTAGACACTTCTTGAAGTTTCTTTGTAATGACCAAGATGAGCTTTGAATGGTACAATAGAAGGATGAATGCTAGCGTCTGCGGGAAAAAAATCTGTAATCTTCTCCAAGCAAAAATCCTGCTGTTTACACGCGCATCTCAATTTAAGCTCTTATTTTTCTACTGGTAACAAATTCACTAGCGTGACAAGTTTTGCAAAATGACAAGCACCAGTACGTATGTCATCTTCATTCAAATCCATTCAAATTTAATCGCCTAGACTCCTCTTGTTGACATTTGTCACCCGAGAAGATAAGGATAAAGCACAGAATAATGGTCCACTTGCTTCACTTTTTCACCGTGCACAACAGTACCTGAAACAAAGTCTCTGGTCAGAAGGTATTGTTTCATACTGGGTGTTGTCTCACCAATCTCTCCTTCAGAGGTATAACCACAATGTATTCCGCCGTCAAACTCGGCTTTCACAATATACAAGGTTTTACCATCTTTATCCTTTCCTCCACTGTGCACAGATCAATGTTATATTCTAGTCAGCTTTAGTTATCATGGAACATTCTAAGTATGGGCTTACAGAATAGGTGGGTAATGCAAGATATCGAGAGTAAACTCCCCGTCTACCTCAACCCATTTCAGTCTCCTATCCGGGTCAGGGCATGTAAATACCTCGTAGTCCTTCTTCAACTGATACAATAACACTGAGATCGATTCCAATTTAAAAGTAGATATAAGCAGTATACCTGTGTCACTTTGTCTTCATGAGGTATCCAGGCCTGGTTATAGTTTGCCTCACCACGGTCTATAAAATAATGGCAGCATTTGTTAGATGTAAGAAAGATACGTCATGTAATGTATTACATGTTCCTCCATTCTATATCGATTACATACAGTTAGAAATGCGTGATATTAATATCCACTCTTATGTACATACCTCTAGTGTAGCTCTAGCAACATATACAACAGACAATGCGCCTTCACCAAGTTCGGGATCAGTTCCGGCTACGACTGCATTAGGAGGAATCCAATGCTCAAAAGCGGACACCTAAAAGAGCATGAGAATAGACCGTACTGACATCACGAAAAAGTCGCAACAAATGTAATTAATAATAGCAAATATAATATTATAATGTACTTATATATTAATTACAATTCAAAATTACAATTATACTTTGCTTGTAATTGAAATGTAACAACTGTATATAAATGTAATACTTATACAAGAATTGTATTATACTACGATTGTTTTTTGAAGCAAGTAATGTTACTACCAGTATTACTACAATATTATATGTGAGACACAAGTACTTAACTTTTATTGTAATATGTTAAAATTGTATATAATTTAAATACAACAGTAGCCAATTACTAATAAAGTTTATAACAGTTCTCTATTACTCTTGCAAGTGTTTTATAAGAGTTCGACTTTTGTTATATTACAGTGGAAGTATTACATTACTCTTGTAATATATAAGTCAGAGTGATTATACTCTTATAAAGTAAATAATTGGCTGAACAGCTGTTTATAATAAACTCATAAGTATCTCAAATACTAGCCAAAATACATGTACATTTATTCTCATCAGTCAACAGAGCATTTATAATAATAATATTTTAAATGTGATACTTTATGATATAAATTATCTGTGATTACGTAATCAAGGACTGAAGATTGAGAGCATATAATGACGCACTTGTCCTTGTCACTTCTTTACCTCTACCTCTACCATCTCTCCCAACCCTCTGCCCCCAACACTACGATGTTGCTTTTGTTCTCCCAGCACAGTCCTCTGCTTGCAAGCGTCCTCCAGCAGGCACTCTGCCTGCAACAACCTAGGCAATGAACATCACTACACTCGTCTCTCCAATCTGTTGTTGCAATGCCTGCGCTGAGCCTCATATCCTGTGACGACAAGACCCAGCTGGCTACACCGTCCTTCAGCG